CGTGGGGGCAGACACCCCCCTCTCAGGCTGGTTCAGGAACCTCAGGTCAAAGCTCAGGCCTTGATTTTTCCTAGCCCTTTTTAGCCCAAAAGACAGGTGTGGGGTGGGGTGGGGTGGCTCACAGGGAGTGAGGACCTGGAGACAGGAAGTCACCATGGCTCCTCCCTGCTCCTCCCTCAGTCTCCTAGCTGAAAGGCTCTGCCTTCCCCATAACAGGAAGATCCCTCTCAGCCCTCCTGAGAGGGCCCTGCCTCTTGTTGCCTCCTCTGCTGGCCTTGCCTCCCCCCAGGCTCAGATCCCAGAACCTTAGGTCCGAAGGGTCCCTGGGAGCTGTTTCCTGCCTGGGAGAAGCGTGAGGGATCAGTCTGGTCCATGCCCTGCTCTCCTCTCCTCCTAGATGGGGCCTCTCTCTCTCCCCAGGTGCGGCCCACCTCGCCTCCCTAGGTTCATGCCATCCAGCTGCTGGGGCCAGGTGCCGCTGGTGCTGGGACAGGGAGGTGACAGGCAGTTGCTGCCCTGGGGGTTCCTGTGCTTGGTGACGGTGAACCCCAGTTGACTCTCCTGCTCAGGACCAGATTTGCTCTTACTGGCATCTCTGATGAGGCGGTTCTTTACTGCCCTGCCGCCCCTGGTGCCCCCCCCCACCGCTGATCCTCCTATCTCCAGACCCAGCTCACCAGCCCCTCCTCCAGGCAGCCTTCCAAGATCTCCTGGTCAGAGGCAACCTCACGCCATGGCCCTTGGCCGGAGTTGCATGCCCCCACCCTCACTCCCAGGGCAGGCACACAGGCTGCTCAGCTCCCCTGCTGGCAGTGGGCACCAGCCCGGGGCTAGTCCAGACCCTTCCTTCTCTTTCTTGACTTGGCACCAACGCACAGGGGAATTCGGGCCTTTCTGGGGAACAATTCTGAGTCTGAAGGCAAAGAGAGATGAAACACACCCAGGGAATTTCCAATCGAGGGAGCAGAAGCTGGGCCTCCCACTTAGTGATGCTGCCCTTGACCGGCTGACCAGCTGGGGGGAGGCCCGGGAGCAGGGGGAGAAGCCACCATGGTCCACTGGGTAAGAGGAGGGTCAGGATACACGTCCCCCTGCCCATGTGACAATCACCCTCCCCAGACGTCTCCCTCGGAGGTTGCCCTCTGGGCATTATACACCCCCACCCCCAAAACAGCCTGAGGCAAGCAGCTCCTGCCTGACAAGGAACCCAGGACCCAGTTTCTTGGGGGCACCTTACCTTACCTGCCCGAGTCCCCTAGCTTTGCCCTCCTGGAGCCGGGGGACTCTGGGGTCATTTCTCCAAAGGGGACAGGCTGCCCTTGGACGTGCACAGACTGGAGGCCACTCACCTCCTTACTGGCTGCACTTGCAGAAGGTGGTCGGCTCTGGATAGGGTGGGCTGTGTCCTGTGGAGTCGCTGGTAGGTGGGCTGCCTCGCCGGACAGGCTGTGGTTCCAGGAGAGTTGGAGGGCAGAGTCAGGGGTCTCTGGCAGGTGAGGTCACCCCCAGAGATTCACATAGATGCTGCTGTGAGCCCAATTCCAAGGAGGACCCCATTATTCTTATCTACCATCTATGATCTTAGTGGGCTACCCCACCCACCCACCCCCAGGAGGGCATCACACTTTCTTCTACAGGTGGTGAAACTGAGGCCCAAAGAGGGTATGTGAGCTGCCCAAGTCACACAGCGAGGCAGGGTAGGGGCTCCTGGGTCACCTGAAGCCACCTCAGCCCCCTCCCTCCAGCCCAGGGGCCATTGTGAGAAGGAGATTCAGTCCAGCGTCCCCTCCCATGGGCCCCGGTGGGGGCTGGCCGAGGCGAC